AAAAAAAAAAAAAAAAAAAAAAAAAAAAATTCAACTTGGAATGATTTCATTTAATGGGTAAATAAGAAACAACCATGGTGAAATGAACTACATTTTATACTGCTTTATTGGGTTAAATAAAAATTATTAAATCTGTCTTTGGTTCTAATTCTTGGGTTCAAAATCAAATGAAAAATCTGATAGAAGGTATTTGAACATTCAATTATAAAGAATTTTAAATAGCTCAGAATTCCATCTAGTTTTTTTTTTTTTATATATATAGAGATTTTTGCTATAAGGCGTGCATGCTCACTAGAAAAACAGAAAGCAAGAAATCATCCCCCCAGGAGGGATGGCCACATCGCAATCCCTTCTCCTCCATCCTCCTCTCAGGATTTTGGGCATGCATGCATACATGCTCAGCATGAGGTTTAAGGACTTGAACCACAGTTGACTAAGTGGGAGCCCAGCGACGTAACCATTATGTTATCTGCTGATCTCTCATCTAGTTTATCTAAAAACGAAGATTACACTTTTGAAGTTAAAAGTAATGTTTTCTTTCTTCTTTTTTTTTTTTAACAGATTTTTTGCTATAGGGCATATGTGCTTGCTGGAGAGTCAGAAAAATACAGAGCGATAGAAAGTGAGAAATCATCCCCCAGGGGGAAGGCTACGCTGCAATCCCTTCTCCTCCATTCTCTTCTCAAGATTTTGGACACGTACACACACGTGCCTAGCGTTGAGTTTTAAGACGCCGGGTCTGGGACTCAAACTGTGGTCAATTATGTGGGAGTCTATAACATAATCATTATGCCACCTGCAGGTCCTAAAAGTAATGTTTTCTTAATAAAAAAGAATTCTGCACAAAAGCCAGGTGACACACCATCTACCTGCTGATAATTATGAAGTCTTGGAGTACTTTTGTGGTGAAGCTTTCCATATCCTTCAAAATAAGCACAACAGGAGGAGACTGCCACTGGCTAGAAGTAGTCCTCTTTTTGCTTGGAATTTTTGGATCTCTCTTCTTTTAAACCATTGTGGAAAGAAAGAGTTAAAAGTAAGCCTTAACACACAACCAATATCATAATGCCACATGTTATATATTTCTCTTCATATTCCACAGTAACACTGTTTTTTGTTTTATTTCTCCCACATAATAAATAGAAATTCAATCCAACAGTCACTAGCAGAATCTTTCTATGTCTGACATGGGAATAATAACCAAGAAGAAGGTTCAGTAAAATCTATAATTCATATGAAATATTTATATAGTCTACAGAGAAAATGATAGGAAAAACATGGAAAGATGAGAACCTTTTTCTACAAAATAGTTTTTTCTGGTAGGAAGTTATATTTTGCTTTGCTTTTGAGGTGGGAACTAGTATTATTAATTTAAAAGCATAATGAATAGTACTACTTTCTATTCTACTACAGTGAAATTTCACTCTTGGAAAGGACCCTAAATATTATCTGGTTCAAGCCTAACCTTTTGAAGCTGTCTGACATAAATTTTAAGTAGCATCTGATTTCTAAGAAATCTGAAATTGTGGATCAAATTAAGATGTTACGGTAAGTAAGCATTATACCTAGTATAGTCCTCAGACAAAACAAAATAAAACTTCATTTATGATGACTTCAGCAAAAATCTTGATTGGAAAATGTTACCACAGAATCTTCTTCCCTTACTGTGTGGCTACAGAGTATCATAAATTAAGGCTGTGGTTTTTTTTGTTGTTGTTGTTTTGTTTTTTTTTTTTGAGAGGTTTTTGTTATAGGGCGTGTATGCTCTCCAGACAGAGGCAGAGAGATAGAAAGCGAGAAATCATCCCCCCCCAAGGGGGGATGGCCACACCACAATCCCTTCTCCTCCATTCTCCTTTCGGGACCTTGGGCACGCATGCGCACGCGCCCAGCATGAGTTTTAAGCCACCAGGTCCAGGACTTGAACCACGGTCAACTACATGGGAGTCCAGCGACATAGCCATTACGCTAACTGCTGGTCCCAAGGCTGTGGTTTTATAGTGCAGTTATCCACGAATCACCTAGGCCATCCGTTTTCAACAGAGACTGTTATGATAGAATGGAAATTCTTTTTATCTGTTTGTTGAATACACTTAACTTATAGAGCATTAATTCCCCAAGAACTCTAAACATGAAACACAGATTTTTTTTTTTTGAGAGATTTTCACTGTAGGGCGCGTGCGCTCGCCAGACAGACAGAGAGAGACATAGAGACAGAAAGCGAGAAATCACCCCCCAGGGGGGATGGTCACGCCGCAATCCCTTCTCCTCCATTCTCCTCTCGGGATCTTGGGCACGCACGCACACGCGCCCGGCGTGAGTTTTTTAAGCCACCGGGTCCGGGACACGAACCGCGGTCGACTACGTGGGAATCCAGTGACATAGCCATTACGCTAACTGCTGGTTCCCAACACAGATTTTTTTTTAAAAACACCAAAAAATCATTATTCCTCATAGGACAAAGTTCACAAGTGTTGGCAGCAAAAAACCAATAGTGAAGAATCTAAGAACTAATATACTAAGATTACAGCCATTGTCACTGAGATAGAACCTATAACAAAGCAACTTCTGATCCTATTTTTGTTACTAGATGACATTCTCCCACAAATAAAATGCCCTTGTAAGAACCTAAGCACCTACCAGGAATTAGGTTACATACTAATGAAAGAACACTTTTAGGGACCAGATGGTGACACAGCAGTAACACAGTTGGACCCACATGGAAAAGGCCATTTTAGTGCCCTGGGACATAGAATGTGCATACGCTTATGCCCAAGAACCAGGATGGCTGAAAACAGGGATGAATCACAGTATGAGGACCTGCTGGGGTGCCTGTTTCTCTCTCTCATGAAAAAAAAATAAACTTAAAAAACATTTTTTTTAAATTCTAGTAGCCTCAAGAAAAATAGTTACTATTAAAATTAATACCTAGTGTTATGTAAGCATACCCTTATTAGAAGAGAACAGTACCATGTCTAATATAATTCCAAGCTCCATAAATCATATGCCAATATCCTGGAAGAAAACTGCCAGTTTATATTTACCTGTGTGACAGTCATATACCAATTGCAAAGTAAATCCATTGAACAATGTGTCCTTTTCTGGATGACCTGAACACTTTCCTCCTCTTTGCACTTTATACCCGCAGAGCAATCCATCAACTGAGAGACCAACTTTTGCAAAAAATGTTTTATATCTGCAAAATATAAAAGCAAGAGAGCTTATCACGTCATCAAAAAAACATAAAAAATCCCCCAAAGCTTATCGATCAGTATATTACATTATTTGGATAGAATATATTTTCTATATTTACTATAGCTAACATAACATTTAACTTTTTTTTTTTAATTGAGAAATTTTTGCTATAGGACACATACGCTTGCCAGAGACAGAGAAAGACAGAGACAGAAAGCAAGAAATCACTCCTCCAGGGGGCATGACCATGCTGTAATCTCTTCTCATCCACTCTCCTCTTGGGATCTTGGGCATGCATGCATACGTGCCCAGTGTGAGTTTTAAGTTGCCAATCAGGGATTCAAACCGTGGTCGACTATGTGGAAGTCTAGTGATATAACCATTATACCATCTGCTGATCCCCTCAACATTTAACATATTAACTTTTTTTTTTTTTTGAAGAGAGGTTTTTTGCTATAGAGTGTGTGACCTCGCTGGAATGAGAGAGAAAGAAAGATAGAAAGTGAGAAGCCACGCCCTGGGAGAATGGCCATGCCACAATTCCTTCTCCTCCATTCTCCTCTTGGGATCCGAGCACATAGCACACACTCCCAGCATGAGTTTAAGCTACCAGGTCAGGCACTTGAACTGCGGTTGACTACATGGGAGTCCAGTGATGTAACCATTACACCATCGGCTGGTCCCATTATTAACTATTAGTAATGCTCATTAGTAATGTAGACAAAAACTAGATCAAAGTTTATGGTATTATTCATAATAAAATAATCAAATATATAAAAGTAAACACTATAAGTTATTTAGAAATAATACATATTTAATCACATTGGACAACAAAAGGTTTTCAAGTTCCTTAAAATTATATCAAGTGTTATTTATATTAATTATTTTACTGATTATAAATCTTTATAGTTTTTTTTTTTTTTAAGAGGTTTTCACCTTAGGACGCTCATGCTAGCTAGAGAGAGAGAAAGAGAGAGTGAGAGGGAAAGTGAAAAATCACTTTCCAGGGGGGATGGCCATGCACCCAGCATGATTTTCAAACTACCAGGTTCAGGACTCAAATGGTGATCGGCCATGTGGAAGTCCAGCAACATAACTGCTATGCCATTTGCAAGCCCCCCTAATAGTCATTTTTTTTTTTTTTTTGAGAGGTTTTCGCTATAGGGATCGTGCGCTCGCCGGACAGAGAGAGACAGAGAGACAGAAAGCGAGAAATCACCACCCGAGGGGGGTGGGCCACGTCGCAATCCCTTCTCCTCCATTCTCCTCTTGGGATCTTGGGCATGCACACACAGGTGCCCGGCATGAGTTTTAAGCCAACTACATGGAGTCCAGCGACAGCCATTACGCTAACTGCTGGTCCCGCTAATAGTCATTTTTAAAAATATCTTTTCAACTTCAACTTATTTTAAATCAGTTTCTAAAGATGAAAGTAACATAAGCACATAAAAATTGTGTTTCATCGGTCCAAAGCCATGTATATTTTACTATTAATGTACACATCTTTTATGACTGATGGCTTTAAAAATATGTAAGATCTACTCTTTCACTGGATAATTTTTTTCACCACAGTGGCCTCTCAAAGTAGGAAAACAAAATAATATACTACTAGAGGCCATGCAGACTACACTCCGCTGAGTTAAATAAGACACACTCATTCCCCAATTCTCAGTTCCCTGTTCCAAACCTTTCTACATATTAAAAGCTTAACTGGGTTAAGGAGCATATCTTGCAAAAATGCCTGGACTATGAAGCTGATATGGCAGGAGTGGACCAGAAAAAAGAAAGCAAAAGGTTGCAAAGAATCCTGCAATAGTGAAGATTACTCTAAAGCTCACCCTGCCAAACACAGCACTGTGCTCTTCCTACAAATAGAAAGGATAAAGAATGCTAGAGACAGAGAGTGACAAAGAAGGGTATTAGAGATTTACGACATCTCACCAAAATAATTACAGCGTTTACATTTTACCTGCACAATCTTTTTTTTTTTTTTTTTAGGTTTCTGCCATAGTGTGGACTTGTCAAAGAGACAGAGAGAGACAGTAAGGGGGAAAGTGAGTTATCATCCCTCCAGGGGAATACATGCACATATATCCAGAGTGTGTTTCAAGCTGCCAGATCTGGAACTCAAACCATGGTCAGTCATGTGTGAGTCCAGTGCCCCAACCATCATGACACCCACTGATCCCTTACCTGGACAATCTTTAGCTTGCAATGAAACTACATATGGTGTGACATTATTCTGAAGGGCCTCTGTTAAACTGCTGAATGTTACATCATGATCTGTAACATTGACACCTGTGGGAAAATAAGCCAGTATTACATCATCATTTTTACTAATAATAATTTAACCCAAAAAGCTATCTAATTTATCAATCAAAAGTCAGGTAAAAATATGATTAATAACAGAAGAAAACATACTGCATAAATGAAGAGATATGCATTAAAACAATAGCTATCTAGAAGTCCAATTGCTGTAATCTGGCAATAGAGAAAGAAGGTATCCAATAGTAGAAGTAGGCCACACCTGGGCCTCAGTTTCTCATCCATGAATGGAAATGGTTTTAAAATTAGATAGCAGGCTGCATTGTAAAGCTGGTCCACAGCATTATAAAGATCATTCTGATGAGTCTTATTACTGAGTATGGTCCTGGGATCAGCAGTATGGACATCACATGGAAACCTATCAGAAATGCAGAATTTCAGGCCCTTCCCCAGATCCTTTTTTAAAAAAATTATTATTTTATTTAAGTTTATTCATCATAATCATCATTATTTTAACTGAACAGAGAGAGAGAGAGAGCAGGAAATTGAGAAAACAAGCTGGTAGGTCCAGGACTTGAACTGGAGCTAGCCATGTGGAAGTCCCGTACTTTAACCACCACGTAACCTGCCAGCCTCCTCCAGACCTATTTTTAAAAAGTATACATTTTAGTAAGATCTTGCAGAGGTTATCTGTAAGTACAAGAAAGTCTGAAAAGTACTGAGGCCAGCAGGTGGAATGGTGGTTAAGGCGCTGGACTCCCAATGGCCAACTGTACTTCAAGTCCCAGACCTGGCAGCTTGCTTTCTGACTCTTTTTCTCTCTCTGTCTCTCTCTGGTGACCACACATGCCATATACCAGATGAAAATAATAATAATAAATAAAATTAATAATTCTTTAAAAAGAAGTTTGAAAATTATCCTGAATAACAACAATAAGATTTAGGAAATGAACAGCCTGAAAAGCAGTATTAACAAGATAATTAATTTCTTATCTCAGAGTCCACTACTATAATAAACCCTGAACAAATAAATTGAAAGTGAAATGAAAAGTATGTATAAATCCCAAATAAATTCAAAAATTCAACTTTGTTTTCAAAAGAAATGAAGAAAATTTTCTAATATTCCAAAGTCATAATATTATCCTGGAATTAAAATATAAATAATAATAGGGATTTTGTTTTTGTTTTTGTTTTTGTTTTTTGTTTTTTGGTTTTTTTGAGAGGCTTTTGTTATATAGGGTACATGCGCTCACCAGAAAGACAGAGAGAAACAGAGAGACAGAAAGCGAGAAGTCACCCCGCAGGGGAGATGGCCACGCTGCATCCCTTCTCCTCCATTCTCCTCTCAGGATCTTGGCCATGCACGCACATGCCCAGCATGAATTTAAACCACTGAGTCCGGGACTCAAACTGCGGTCGACTACATGGGAGTCCAACGACATAGCCATTACGCCATCCTAAAGATGGGATATAAATAATGAATATTTAAGTACTTAAGAAATTTACAAAAAAAAAAAAATACAGAAGGGCAGTAGGTGGTGTGATAGTTAAGGCACTGGACAGTCCCACATGGCCGACCACAATTTGGGTCCCAGACTTGGTGGCTTGCTCTCTCTTTCTTCTCTCTCTTGTGTCTCTCTCTGGTCAAATTAAAATAAGTGAAAGAATAAATTAAATTAAATTAAAAAAAAAGAAATTTACCTCCTACAATCTGAAAGAATTTATATACAGTACATTTCATCCAAACTCCTTTTTATGCAATTAATACAACAAAATGATGAAAGATTTAAAAACTAAGCACAAGGAAATAAAATGAAGACAACAGAGTAATTGAATTGAAGATATGACTCAAAAATTATGTAAAAATCAGTCTACTAACATGCTGGTGGTTTCTTTGCAAATCAAAATCTCATCTACTGCCATAATACATTTGTGGAAGAAAGAATAAAACAAAGCTATTTCCCTTTCTGACCAAAAAAAAATCTGAGGAAAGTACTAACTGGATATAGATATATGATTAAGGAACTTTTATTGGTTTTGAAAATATGCAAACTTGTAGGTGCTACTTCTATAAATAAAAAATAGGTTTATCAGAAGAGATCGTTTCCCATTCTTCTCAACAATAAAAACAATTAAAAAAATACATATACACATATACCCATGAGCACACATATATACATACCAAGAACAAGAGCAGCAGTTGGAATTTCTCTGAGTTTTATCTGACATCCCCAATCTGAACTCTTCTGAAATCCAGAATGAGACTTTTGCAGAAATTCAATTAGATTGTCAAACAAATTTTTATTTAACTCTTCTTGTAGTCGCTACAAGGAAAACACAAAACTTATAAATTATTATTCATATAATCTGATGTATCTTTCCTGGTTTTGAAAAGACTGCTATGAATTCAGCTCTAAATACAAGTAAAATGGTTAAGAGACAGATAACATTTTAAAAAATGTTTTTCTTTAATTCTCTAGTGATTAATGCTTTGTATTCCTCTATTTAAAAACTCTTCATTTGGGGCCAGCAGATGGTGTAATGGCTATGTCACTGGACTCCCATCTAGACCGCAGTTTGAGTCCCAGACTTGGCTTAAAACTAATGCCAGGCACATGTGCATGTGTGTCCAAGATCCTGAGAGGAGGCTGTAGAAAAAGGGATTGTGGCACATGGCCATCCCCCCAAGGAGGTGATTTCTTGCTTTCTGTTTCTCTGTCTCTTCCCAGCGACTGCATGTGCCGTATAGTAAAAACCTCTTTTAAAAAAAACTCATTTTTTTCATTCAACATTTACTAATCACCTAATGTATGAAAATTAGCCTTTATCCTAAAAAGTGGACATATCAGATAAGAATGATACAATTAAACGCACTGTGTATAGCACCTTGACAATATAGGAGCAATGAGTAGGGTCACCTAACTTAAGCTGAGGAAGTGATATATTTGAACCAAGGCATTAATAGATGATGGAGGAGGTAACAGGAGGTGATATAAAGTTAGAAGGAAAGAAGAGTGAGGGAAGTAAGAAAGAAAGCACCAAACCTCTGTGGAGCCACAGATAGAGATGAGCATAAAAAACATGAAAAGTAGTATGAAACACAAGAATGGATTAAAAAGGCAAAGGTCTAGATCAAATATATATATACGTACTACATGGTTTGGATTTTTTTTAAGGTTTTTGCCACAGAGTGTGTGCATTTACCCGAGAGAGAGAGAGAGACAGAGACAGAGACAGTGAAAAGGAAAGTGAGCTATCACCCCTGGGGGCGGGGGATGGCCACAATCCCTTCTCCATTCTCTTCCTGGGATTTTGGGCATGTACACACATAAGTGCCTGGCATGAATTTCAAGCTCCCAGGTCCAGGGCTCAAACTATGGTCCAGCACCTTAACCACTATGCCACCTGTTGCTCCAAAAAAATTAGAATTTATCCCATGGAGAGAGTGTAAAGCAGATACATGATTAAATTAGAGTTAAGGAGAGTTAACCTGGCTGCACTGTAAAGGCCAGATTAGAAAGGTTCAGGGAGGCTATACTGCCAAAGGGGCTAGAAAACCCCAGTAGCCTGGCACAGGACTGCATTTGCCCGAAGGGGGCACTTCCCCAAATATAATGACCATCTAGGATAAGAATAAAAAGGGTCTAAACTGGAAACCACAAACTCAGCATCCTGCAAGAATCACATGCAATACATGAATGAGCAAAGCCATTCGTGGTGTAGGGGTAAAGCAATAAAAACCAGTAGGAAACCAGTAAAAAACTGGGAAGTGCCTAACACTCCCACAGGCATTCAAAACCAAAACAAAACAAATCCTAGGGTCATGATGTTGGCCCCAAAGTTGTCAATTTGCTATAGTGGAGAAATTTGTACAGCTAGAATATAAAGAACTTGGTAACTACATGTGAGGATGAGGAAGAGGAGTTTAGAAATAGTTTGATTTTGTACTTGTGTACTGAATGGATAATTTAAGAATATTACCGTTTGAAAGTTCCTTGCCATAGCAGCTACCAAAAACATACGTTACAGTACCTGACGCTAATACATTTAATATTTAAAATATAAGAGGTTTTAAGGATAGATAGATTATGCTTGACCATCAATATTTTTGTAAACTGGTGAAAAGGAGATTCAAATGAGACTAACAGTATTAGAAAAATGGTATCAAAAAAGTATTCACCTCAGTTTCAGATTTCATCTGTTGCCATATCAACTGATAAGTTTCAAATCGAAGCTTACTGTCCTCAGACTCATTTTTCCCTTTATTAAAATAGTCCTCTAAAAACACAGAAAGAAATAAGTCAGTTTCATTTTTTTATATTGTAAAAGTTAGAAACTGTGTACAAAGTCACATAGTAAGTGATGGGGATTCAAGTTTTTTATATGCATCACAAATAATTATGTGTTTGGGGATAGACAATATTCGATAGTCTTTGCATTTAACTTTATTTATATATCTCATTTTTACCATATTAATCGTATCTTTAAGATAAAAATATCTTTAATTTTGAGACTATATTTTATTAATTAATTTTGAGTATCTAACAATTTAATATTTAATAGCTTTTAGTTTGAGATGTATACATTCAATATTAATGTGTTTTCATTATTTGTGTTTATTCTATGACCATGACTGCTTTGCTTCATATATTTGCTTTGAACTTTTCTCTATTAAATGATTCTTAGTACTATCAGGTTGTTGGGAAAGTCATGACATATTTTTCTATATTTTACTATACAAAAATACATCATGACTTTCCCAATGACCCAATACTATTTCCATTTTTTGTTTATTGAAATAGTTTTTTCCATTCATTTAATTTGTCTGTATTATTTTAAATCCTCTTCAAATGCTTTCTCCACATGGTTAGCCATTTGTCAAAATACCATTTATTGCAGTGGTTTTCAAGCTTTTAAAATCATGATCCAAATTAAGGAATACATCTTATATCCTATCTAACACATATACACATAACAGAAACAAAAATAGAAGTCCCACAAAATAATACTTACCTTTATCACAAAATAGCAAATGGGACCAGCAGTTAGCGTAATGGCTATGTCGCTGGACTCCCATGTAGTCAACCGTGGTTCGCATCCTGGACCCGGGGGCTTAAACTCACAGGTTCGCATCCCGGACCCGGGGGCTTAAACTCACACTGGGCGTGTGTGCGTTAAGTGCCCAAGATCCCAAGAGGAGAATGGAGGAGAAGGGATTGCAGCGTGGCCATCCCTTCTGGGGGATGATTTCTCGCTTTCTGTCTCTCTGTCTCTCTCTGTCTTTCTGGCGAGTGCACGCGTCCTATAGCTAAAAACCTCTCCAAAAAAAGAAAAAAAAAAAAAAGCAAATGTTTTCTATTTTTTCAAACGGGAGGCTATACTGCCAAAGGGGCTAGAAAACCCCAGTAGCCTGGCACAGGACTGCATTTGCCCGAAGGGGGCACTTCCCCAAATATAATGACCATCTAGGATAAGAATAAAAAGGGTCTAAACTGGAAACCACAAACTCAGCATCCTGCAAGAATCACATGCAATACATGAATGAGCAAAGCCATTCGTGGTGTAGGGGTAAAGCAATAAAAACCAGTAGGAAACCAGTAAAAAACTGGGAAGTGCCTAACACTCCCACAGGCATTCAAAACCAAAACAAAACAAATCCTAGGGTCATGATGTTGGCCCCAAAGTTGTCAATTTGCTATAGTGGAGAAATTTGTACAGCTAGAATATAAAGAACTTGGTAACTACATGTGAGGATGAGGAAGAGGAGTTTAGAAATAGTTTGATTTTGTACTTGTGTACTGAATGGATAATTTAAGAATATTACCGTTTGAAAGTTCCTTGCCATAGCAGCTACCAAAAACATACGTTACAGTACCTGAAGCTAATACATTTAATATTTAAAATATAAGAGGTTTTAAGGATAGATAGATTATGCTTGACCATCAATATTTTTGTAAACTGGTGAAAAGGAGATTCAAATGAGACTAACAGTATTAGAAAAATGGTATCAAAAAAGTATTCACCTCAGTTTCAGATTTCATCTGTTGCCATATCAACTGATAAGTTTCAAATCGAAGCTTACTGTCCTCAGACTCATTTTTCCCTTTATTAAAATAGTCCTCTAAAAACACAGAAAGAAATAAGTCAGTTTCATTTTTTTATATTGTAAAAGTTAGAAACTGTGTACAAAGTCACATAGTAAGTGATGGGGATTCAAGTTTTTTATATGCATCACAAATAATTATGTGTTTGGGGATAGACAATATTCGATAGTCTTTGCATTTAACTTTATTTATATATCTCATTTTTACCATATTAATCGTATCTTTAAGATAAAAATATCTTTAATTTTGAGACTATATTTTATTAATTAATTTTGAGTATCTAACAATTTAATATTTAATAGCTTTTAGTTTGAGATGTATACATTCAATATTAATGTGTTTTCATTATTTGTGTTTATTCTATGACCATGACTGCTTTGCTTCATATATTTGCTTTGAACTTTTCTCTATTAAATGATTCTTAGTACTATCAGGTTGTTGGGAAAGTCATGACATATTTTTCTATATTTTACTATACAAAAATACATCATGACTTTCCCAATGACCCAATACTATTTCCATTTTTTGTTTATTGAAATAGTTTTTTCCATTCATTTAATTTGTCTGTATTATTTTAAATCCTCTTCAAATGCTTTCTCCACATGGTTAGCCATTTGTCAAAATACCATTTATTGCAGTGGTTTTCAAGCTTTTAAAATCATGATCCAAATTAAGGAATACATCTTATATCCTATCTAACACATATACACATAACAGAAACAAAAATAGAAGTCCCACAAAATAATACTTACCTTTATCACAAAATAGCAAATGGGACCAGCAGTTAGCGTAATGGCTATGTCGCTGGACTCCCATGTAGTCAACCGTGGTTCGCATCCCGGACCCGGGGGCTTAAACTCACACTGGGCGTGTGTGCGTTAAGTGCCCAAGATCCCAAGAGGAGAATGGAGGAGAAGGGATTGCAGCGTGGCCATCCCTTCTGGGGGATGATTTCTCGCTTTCTGTCTCTCTGTCTCTCTCTGTCTTTCTGGCGAGTGCACGCGTCCTATAGCTAAAAACCTCTCCAAAAAAAGAAAAAAAAAAAAAAGCAAATGTTTTCTATTTTTTCAAACTACTACCATAGTCTACAACATTGATCTCATAACATATGAGTTATGACTCTGGTTTGGAAAACTTATTTACTCAATAATTCATTCTTTTTCCCACTGATTTGAGATGTCCCACCCACCTACGACTTCTAAACCTTTGAGCGACTTTTTTTTTCCTTTAGAGAGGCTTTTCATGTGCTGAATAATGCTGTATCAAAATACATAATGAAAAAAGTCTTAGAAACTGAAAAATAAAAGCAGTAGGACAATTTAACCTGTTACTGTGACTACTCTCAGTTATTTATGGATGAGGTAGGTAAAAAATAAGCAACTGAGAGAAAGTGAAGAATGTAAGCTGTCATCATTGTCAGTTTCCTCCTGCCTCCACTCCTCATGGTACATCACTTCAGTGTGAACAGCGCCTACTGGGCCAGTGCTATTGCCAGCCTCACTCTCCCCAGTTCCTGCCCAAGTTATTTGGTTGAGCATGCAGGCACCCACCGAATACAGAGGGAAGGAAAGGCTACCAGTCTTCTCTTGGGTACACAACTAAGTGTCATCAAGTCAAGATACAGATGGTGGGCAAAATCAGAGCACCTTCCTATTTCTTCAGGTAATCTGTTTCAAGAATTGAATCCAGGGCAGGCAGGTGCTAAAATCTGGACATGTTTTCCTCATTTGAGCTCCATCTGTTTTATAATGAGAGTCAATTCCTCCAAGATTTTCATATGACAGAACATGTTGGTCAACACAATGAAAAAAGAAAACTAATGAAAATCTACAGGAAAGTTCAAATAATATAATTATACACATTCAGTTTACTAATATTATAAATTGTAAATAAATGTTAACAAATTATAGATAAATTTTTTTTTTTTGGAGAGGTTTTTTTGTTATAGGGCATGTGCGCCCGCCAGAGAGAGAGAATGCGAGAAATCACCCCCCGGGGGGATGGCCACTCCACAATCCCTTCTTCTCCATTCTCCTCGCGGGATCTTGGTCCCACATGCACACACACCTGGTGTGAGTTTAAGCTGCCGGGTCAGGGACTCGAACCAGTCGACTACATGGGAATCCAGTGACAGCCATTACGCTAACTGCTGGTCCCATCAAATTATAGATAAACTTTAATATAAAAAGTTCAAAGCAGAACTTGCCTCAATATGAAAGGCATTGTTATGGAATAGTGAGACCATAGGTTCTGGAATCAGACAGGATGGATTCAAATCCCATCTATTAACTATTTACTAGCATTATAACACTGAGCAAGTTCTATGTCAGTGAATCTTCACACAATATTTTAATAGAGATTATAATAATAATACATTCCTCATAGGGTGTTTATAGTATTAAATGCATTACATATAAAAAATGCCTAGAATAGGACTAGCACATGGCATAGTGGCTACATCGCTGGACTCCTACATGGCCAACCACAGTTCAAGTCCCAGACACGGCAACTTGAAACTCACGCTGGGTTCATGTGCATGTGTGCCCCAAATCCCAAGATGAGAATGGAGAAGGGACTGCAGTGTGGCCATCCCCCCTGGGAGGTGATTTTGCAGTTTCTATCTCTCTGTCTCTCTGGCAAGCATACACGCTCTACTGCAAACTCTCTAAAAATAAATAAATAAAATGTTTAGACTAGTGTGGCACAAAGTAAACACTCAAAAAAGTTAGCAGTTTTATTAGTAATAGCTACACATTGTTGACAATATCAGATATCATTATACACTATATATACTTCATAAATAATAAGTGCACAAGTCTTGAATTTTCCCTGAACTATTTCTAGTAACTTTAACAATCTCCAATATTAAGGAAAATTGTCCAAAAGTCAATCACTTAAAAATAATTAACAGAGGCTGGAAAGTGAATGGTGTTTAAGGCATGGGACTCCCTCCCACGTGACTGGCCACAGTTCAAGTCCCAGATCTGGTGGCGTGCTTTCCCACTTTCCCTTTCTCTCTCTTTGGTCAAATTAAAAAATAATGACAAATAAAATTTAGTAATTGTTTTTAAAAAATAACAGTAATAATAAATTAATGCAGTTATTCTTTTCTTTTTAACTATTTCCAAACCCATTACTGTCCCTTTTCATTTTGTAGGTAAAGATGGAAAAGAATTAAGAAGCTTCAAGTTTCTTGGAAAATAAGTCAATGAGAAACTAGATTTTTATTTATTTATTTATTTATTTTTGAGAGCTTTTTGCTACAGGGTGTGTGTGCTCACCAGAAAGACAGAGAGAGAGACAGAGACAGAGACAGAAAGTGAGAAATCACCCCCTGGGGGGATGGCCACACCGCAATCCTTTCTCCTCCATTCTCCTCTCGGATCTTGGGCACACACACACACACACAGGCACCTAGTAATTGTTTAAGCCACCAGTTCCAGGACTTGAACTGTGGTCGACTACATGGGAGTCCAGTGACATAGACATTACATCACTGCTGGTCTATATTCTTATTTTAAGTCATACTGTTTACCCTCCATTGCCCCAAATTAGACCATTATTTGTTATTTTCTCCTCAGTCACAGGTCTCATATTAGCTAGTCTCAGATCAAAAGATTACTACTCAAGGCCTACATTATATGGTGATTGTAAAAATGCAATTCTGGACCAGCTTCATCAGGCAGTGATTAAGCACTATGCAGAGGAAGCTGGATCCCACTTGGCCAACTACAGTTCCATCCTGACTCTGGAGGCTTGAAAAACACACTGGGAGTGTGTGTACACACGCCCAAATTACTGACAGGATAGAGAAATGGAGGAAAAATGATTGAGACATCACTATTCCCCTATTGTGGGAGATGCACTCCCTGTCTCTATCTCTAGTAAGTACCTCTGTCAATTAAAAAAAAAAAAATCCTATTCTATATATTTAAGCTATTTCCTTAATCAAAAAGTGAAATGAGTCAGTCTTACTTTTGATTTTTAAATTTGCTATAGGGTGCATGCACTTACCAGAGAGAGAGAGAGAAAGCGGAAAAGCATCCCAGAGAATGGCCTCAACACCATCCCTTCTCCATTCTCTTAGGATTTTATGTATGTATGCATGTGCACTAGTGTGTTTTTCAAATTGCTGGTTCAAACCTTCGTAGCCATGTGGCATTCAGTGACCTTAACTATCATGTCACTGGTTGGTCTAGTTTTTCTTTTTCAATTCAAAATTAGTACATGGGTATGCTTAAATCCACATAATTTTTCCATTAGAATTAATTTTCACAGTGTTGAATACTGAGTATAAATACTAAATAAGCCTGTGAGGAACTTTTCAAAGTTTTTAGAACCTGGGCCTACTCCCAGAGATTCTTATTCAAATGGTCTATTTGAATAGTTCACTGGTATTTTCTAAAAGTTCCTCATGTAGAAATCAGAATAAGGTCAGTAGACTATATGAATGTCAGTTTCTTAGTTGTGATACTGTATTATGGTTATGCAACATATTACCACTGGGGATTACTACGAAAGGGGTACAAAAGAACTCTCTACTAGTCCTTGTAATTGCATATGAATCTACACTTTTATCAAAATTAAAAGTTTTTTTAAATTATTTTATTTAACTTTATTTATTTATTTTGATTTTGTTTGACCAGAGAGGAACAGAATGAAAGAAAAAGAGAGGGAAAGTGAGAAAGCAAGCCGCGAGGTCCGGGACTCAAACTGTAGTCAGCCATGTGGGAGTCCAGCGCCCTTAACCACCACACCACCTGCTGGTCCCTCAAAACAAAAAGTTTTTTAAAACTTCCCCAAGTGATTTTAATATGCAGGTAAGATTGAGAATGAGTGCAATAAACACTTTGTGACTAACAGTAATATTGATTTGTTTGAAGAGGTGAAGCCTTCTTAACTTGATCATTATATAATTATCTGGAGGTAAATGAAAAATAAAGATGGTATCTTTTTTTAATCATTTAATTTTACTGAAGTATAACTTACGAATAATAAAATACACCCATTTTAACATTAGATGTTATGTCATAAGTACATACTCACATAACTACCTACTGAATCAAGATATAGAACATTTCTATCACTCCACAATGTTCTCTCGTCTTTTTACTGTCACTTCCTCCTACCTCATCCTAGGAAACCACTGAGAACTTACAGGTAACCTGTTTTTGTTTTTCAAACAAATTAATGTCTTTCCTCTCTTACCTACATAGGTATATGAGTGTATGTGTCTGTACCAATGATTATAATCCACTTCCTTAATATAATTATGTGTGTCTGTGGGTTAAAATCCGTCCCCCTGATCATTCAACAAGTCTGTTTTAGCTAGAAAAAGATAATGATTGAGAAGAAGAGTCAGGCCCTCTCTGCACATCAGAGAAGTTAAAGAGCATAAGCTTGTGGAAAGGATGTGAGTATTAATAGGGGTGGAATGATCAGCAGTTGATGTAATGGCTATGTTGTTGGACTCTCATGTTGTCGACTGTGGTTCGAGTCCCGAACCAGGTGGCTTAAACTCACGCCGGGTGCGTGTGTATGCGTGCCCAAGATCCCAACAGTAGAACAGAGGAGAAGGGATTGCGGCATGGCCATCCCCCCCGGGGGGGGGTGATTTCTGACTTTCTGCCTCTTTGTCTCTCTCTGTCTTTCAGGTGAGCACATGCACCCCATAGCAAAAAAAACTCTCAAAAAAAAAAAATAGGGGTGGAATTCGGGTCATTTGAAAATATGTAGCAGAACTGAGAGTGTCTTTGGCTATTCATTACCAGCTTTTCCCATTCTCTCAGGCTATTGAGAGATGAGGGTCTTAGAATACAAACTACAAGGCCAATCTCCTGACAGCCCATGAAAACACAAATTTCTTCACATGGTATTTATTATTGTCTCACAAAGTCTTGCATTTAGCTCTTATAGGCATGGAATGAGAATAGGAAGAAATTTTAGTGATAAGCCAATCTAGTATCTCATTTTACAGATGAGAAGACCTGGAAAGAGGCTGAATAGCAGAGTTAAGGCCACAGAGCTAGCCAAGGTCAGCATCACACTCCAAGTTCGCTTAGTTCAAGTCCGAAGGATTCCATAACCTTACAATGTAGCAGGCAGAAGTACAATAAGAGATTCAGAACCTTGGACTTTTTACTCAACATGCACTGGTGTGTACAACCTTATCCTTACACCAGAATGCATAATATTCTATTCAAAACACATGTAGTAATTAAATTCATTACTGTACATTCCATACAGACGTTTTCTTCTTTTAATTTACCTTGCCAAGGTTATTCATAAAATGGAATACCACATCAAAATTCTTAAGTATGTTTGACTCCTCATAATAGTGTATATTTAACTCAAGAATAATTTATAATTGTCACTAGAAAACACACACAATTTTATAGTCTTTTTCTTTAGTTTTATGTGTTAACAAAAATAATTTATTTTCTAAATAGTATTTCCCATTAGAAATATGGGTTGCCAATAAGCTTTTATAATTATTTTGATTACTGATCAAAGATCAAAATAATTTTCTACTGAAAATTAACTTTCATTTCTAAGGTCATAAAGAAATAATGGTACCAAATCATCAAAAGACAATCTTTTAAAGGATGGTGAAATACTTTTGAAGAAAATCTGCTTTCCAACTTGCTTTTTGAAGTATATTTGGATTCGTTTTCAGGTTAGAACTCTGACATGTACCCTTATCCCTGTGACCAATGCCTTTGAATATAACTGCTACAGAAACAGGGAGAGTAAGCTAAGCTCAGACAAGAGAATTACTAAATTCAATTTGGGTCAATTCTTAAAGTTTAAGACATGGGGTGAGAAAACCTAACAAATTCAATGTTAAGATACTTTACCTATTGGCAAAGAAATCTTTCTTTTCTTGAAGTTTGGCTTAAACACAAAGCAGCCCTATAAAAATACAGGAAAAAAACACAAAGTCAAAATAGAATACAAATTTGATTAAGTATTTTACTGATAAGCAGATTTTTTTTAAAGGTGGAAGGGGAAGACGTTCATTTCAAGTTCTAAGAAATCAAAATTACATCACTTCTCTCTCAATTATAGGAGGGAAACTCATAAATCATAAGAGGACTATCCATTCTCACCCCTCATGGCATGCCCATAAAGATTTTGCTTTTTGTGACCTGTTCTAAGAGATAGACAATGAAAATAAAAGCTGATGAAATTTAAACCCAGAAAAAAAGTTTTATTTTACAAAAGTTAATATTGCACATTAAAACGAAGATGAAGAAGGTCAAAAACCGTGACAATCTCCCACTCCCCAAAAAGAATTTATCATTTAGTTAAAATACAAGTATCTAGAACCTTGAAAGAAAACAGATAATTTTGGCTATGGTTTAACCCTATATACCTTTAATCATCTTTTAAAATCTTATCCATTAAAATTTGACTCAAAACTCACCTTTTCAGGAACCTCTTCCCTGATTCTCTAAGCAGAAAAGCTCCTACCGAGATCTCATAAGACTTGAACATCTTTATTTTGCTGTCATTTAAATCACTTTCATTGCATATCATAGTTATCTATGATAACCTGACTCCAAGTTATCATAAACCTACTTTCAAGTAGATTGTGAACACTTTCAGAACATAGATTGTGGGGCCAGCAGGTGGCATGGTAGTTAAGGTGCTAGACTCCTACATGGCCAAATGTGGCTTGAGTTCTGGACCTGGTGGTATGAAAACCACAGTGGACACATGTGTATGAGTGCCCAAAATCTCAGGAGAGTGGAGAAGGGGTTTCCATGTGGCTATCTCCCCAGGGGTGGGGGAAGGGTGGTCATTTCTCACTTTCTCTCTCACTGTCTCTCTCTGGTGAGTGCAATGTTCTATGGTCAAAAACAAACAAACAAACAAAACATAAACTGTATTTTATTTATACATGTTTCTTCTAGGTTTAGAATATTGCTAATATATACACATACATACACACACACATCTATATGCATACACACACACACATAAATCAAGACATTAGAATATGTAACGATTGAATGAATGCTTGCCAAGTAACTTTTCTGGAAATTTCTTAGCTACAATTTTCATATTATTATTTTACCAGTGGTACATAGCTCCCAAGTTATTGGTCTCAGTCTATCCTACCTATCCTAAAGTTACACATCATGAATAACCTCTTAAAGATTTTCAATTCTGGGACCAGTAGATGGCATAATGGTTACGTTGCTGGATTTCCACATGGTCAACCATGATTTTAGTCCTGGACCCAGACCGGGTGTTGTGTGCGCATGCCCAAAATCCCAAGAGAAGACTGGAAGAGAAGGGACTGAAGCAAGGCCATTCCCCATCCGGAGGAGTGGGGGGAGTGATTTCTTGCTTTTCTGTCTCTCTGGTAACACACAAACCCTATAGCAAAAATCTTTCTCAAAAAAATTTTTTTTTTAGTTTTCCAATTCTATGGAAAATGAAAGAAGGAAATAAATAAAGCTTAAAAAGCTTATCTCATGGGATAAGCAAATGGCATAATGGTTTAATGGACTTCCACATGGTTGACTGTGGTTTGAGTCCCAGACTCAGCAACTTCAAACTCATACCAGGCACACACGTGTGCACGACCAAAATCCTAGCAGAGAATGGAGAAGGGACCACCCACCTCAGGGACTGATTTCTTGCTTTCTGTCTCTCTGGAAAACTCAAATACCCTATAGGAAAAATCTCTCTCTCAAAAAAAAAAAAAAAAGCTTACTTCAGGATAGTGCTAAAGAAAGACAGCTGTGCAAATATAAACGGGCCATTTGGATTACAAATTTCAAATTAAGAATTGCGTCTTACCTATTTTTATACCTGCAACTAGTAGAACTATGTGAAAGGCAATACGTATTCAGTAAAGGCAAAGAGACATTAAAGGAGTAAAAAATGAAGACTGCCCAGATTAGGTCCTGGCATAAGGCAGTGATAGTAATATGATTAATCACTTTGAACTCTGTCAAGTGATGGTATTTGAAATGGAAGAAGTCTAGGAAAAAGGTCGATACCCAGACAATATTAGGAAAGACAAGGAAAATATTTAGATAGGTTAAAAGAAAAAAGTTAGCAGTTCCATGAATTCCTGAAACAGTCCTTAAAGGGCCTCTTCGTTCTTTCTTTTCTTTTCTTTTCTTTTCTTTTCTTTCTTTTCTTTCTTTCTTTCTTTCTTTCGTTCTTTCTTTCGTTCTTTCTTTCGTTCTTTCCTTCCTTCCTTCCTTCCTTCCTTCCTTCCTTCCTTCCTTTCTTTTTTTGTTACTACAGGGCATGTGTGCACCACAGAGAGAGGGAAAGTGAGAAATCATTTCCCAGAGGGATGGCCACTGCAATCCCTTCTCCTCCATTCTCCTCTTGGGATTTTGGGAATGTACCCAAAAACACACCCAGCATGTTTTCAAGCCACTTGGCCCAGGACTTTGAAGCAAAAGTTGGACATGTGGGATCCAGACACCTTAACCACCACACCACTAGCTGGCCAAAGGTCCTTTTCTGTGTAAGGTCCACTTCATAATCACCTCAATACAGACATTTCAGTTATAATGCCAGTAAAGATTTTCTTTAAAAAAAAAAAAATCTGCATGATACACGCATGCACAAAAATAAGTATAAATGCATCCAACAGGATTAGAGAACAGACCACTCAAAATCTTTGATGCTTTATAATCAGAAAAATACAGAACTGTTCCAATCCTGATAAAAATCCTAGCAAAGTTAAATCTCTTCTGGCACTGACATCCAGCATCACAGGCATGTCAGTCCTTTGTAACCTTAAATCCTAGAGTTTGTATTTTTTTCTTTTTGACATGTAATCTTTAAAAGCACTGGTTCTCATAGACCATTTTAATCAAAATTTTAAAATACCTCCATGGTATCACCTTCTTCATTAATCCATTGCTTTAACATAGGGAGAAATGTCTTCGCAGCTTCATCTGCCTTTTCAGCTTCATTAGATAGCTTAACTTCAGAGGCTTCCCAGTGCACATACAATAGAGCTAAATTCCAGAGCAGTGCTATCCAACATAACTTTCTGTAATGCTGGAAATGTCTTATATATCTGTACTAATATGGTAGCCATGGCCACATACAATTATTGATTATTGGCTAATCCTACTGAAGATCTAAATTTTTAATTTTATTTAATCTTACATTAGCAAAGTTCAAACAAACAGTCACATGTGGCTAGTAGCTACCACTCTGGATGTTCCAGGGTTTACCTTCTTACCAGCCACACTTTGTCTTGCAGCCCATTCATCTAGGCAGCTTCCCCTCATCTACATTTTTATTCATTCTCATTTTTCATCAACGATTCCTCTTTTTCTCCACTCTCTGATTACACTGACTTTTACATTCCTTAACTGTGTCACTGTTTTTTGACTTTCTGGGTAAAAGAACATACTCTCTCTACCCACATCCCCTGAATCCTCCGCAGGTTGAACTTTTACTCACTTTTCAGATCTTAAGTCAAAATGTCATTTATCCAAAAAGCCTTCGCTGACCTCTGGCAATCGATATTATTAAGTTCCTCTCACTCTTCTGTTCTCTCTTGGAACTTTTCTCCTTGCTAACACCTCACAATCTGTGACCACCAGTTTATCTGTGTGTAATGTCTTTCATAAGTACAAAAACGGAGTCTATTTTGTTTACGATTGTATCTCGGTACCTAACGGCGTGCTTGATGCACAGTAAATATTTGTAAGACGTCAAAAAGCCGAGACCGGGACACATCTTCTAGGCATCCGAACTCCATAAACCAGAACTTAAAAAGCCTCCTAGACTCACCACAAGGCAGATCCCCGCCCTTGTTCCCAAAGGAAAGTTGGCCTTAACTGGACCTGGCGCAAAGGCGCCTTAGTTCAGTCCGCGGATCCCTCCCCTCGAGCCAGAGAACTGGCGTCCACGTGACCTCCGCTTCATCCCTTCTTCAAAGATGAAATGGACGGCAGCGGAGCTCTAGTGAGCGCCCTCCCCTACGTACCTTGGACACAGAGGAGGTGGCCATAGTTCCAGCTGCCCGGCAACTCCAGTTGCACTCAGGAGTTCCCGCGCGCCTTCGCGGCAGCAGGGCAAAGGTTAGTGGCGAGCCATGCGGCTCTTTGATTGGTTGGCATTGCCCTCTGGGGCGGGCTTCCGGCGTGTGGAGGCGGGGCGTGCAGAGGTGGGCGGGGTGAGGCCGGGACTTGGGGCCGCGGAGCTCTTTCCGGAGGCGGACATGGCGTGTGGCTTCCGCAGGTCTATCGCCTGTCAGGTACGGAGCCCAGGGCGTACAGGAGGGCGCCGGCAGAACCTTGAACACCAAACCCGGTTTACCGCTGCAGGCCAGTCCTCAGTCAGCGAGAGGGCAGATTCCTTAGTATCTTGTTTGTTTCTGCCACCTCTTCCCCTCTTTCGGTCGAGCTGTCTGAACCCCAGAGGCGAACCGTGTGGAGTCGGGGATGCGATCGAGATCCGTATTTCAGGGAGAACAGTAAACCTTGAAAGACTGTTGCTCCTGTCCTTCCCACTCCATGGATTTGTATGCATTACCTGGGTGAAAAGTCATTAGGCTATGATTAGACCCTTAGAAATTAGAGTTCCTTAAACTTGGTGAAGTTGCTTGTAAATCTGAATTTGCATTCGAAAGGATCCAACCTAAAGGTTGGTTGTTGCTCTTACAGTCACTTTCTCAACTTGTCATGAAATTGGTTTTGGTAAATCCTGAAGATACAGGAGATACATTAGACCCTGGTTTTGGTTTTGGGTTTAGTGTTTTTTTAATTCACAGTTATGTTTGAACATACTCTCCAATGAGGAAGGGAATAAAAAACTGCAATATTGGAGTCGGCAGGTGGCATGGTGGTTATAGACTCTCCACAGGGACGCAAGCCTTGGGCCTGGTGACTTGCGTTCTCACTTTCCCTCTCTCTCTTTCTCTGTCTCCTTTTGATAAAACTGGAAATAATAATAATAAAGTTCTATAAAATAATTTTTAAAGCACTACAATATAAATGTAATTCATCAAAAATTTTTAAAAATCCAATGTAACTCATCAAAAATTTTAAAAATTCATTAGCTAGTTATGGAATTTTGCAAAGAAACTTTCTATGGTGGTCTTAAACACATTTCCTTTTTGTTAGTGGACGTGTTTTGCTTGGTATATAATTTACCTTAGCTCATTTTTATAGTGGAGAAATCCTTCTGCCTTGTCTTTATGCTTATATTAATAGATGTCTAACATGCCCTGTCTAATGTACTCCCCACTCCATATCACTAACACCACTTTTTGACAAGACAAAGCTGAGTTTATTGCTTCCCAGGGTAAGAGAGAACACCACCTCAACAGTTTTGGTAATGTTTCAAATTAGGAAGATCAGGTCAGATTTTTCTGGAGAATTTTTTTTCCTCTTTCTTTCTTTATTTTTAATTTTGCTATAGGGCATATGTGTTGGCCAGAGAGAAACAGACAGAAACAGAAAGAGAAAAAGAGAGAGCGAGAAATCACCTCTGGGGGGGATGGCTATACAGCAATCCATGATCCATTCTTCCCTCGGATCTTGGGCACGCAACACGTGTGGCCTGCATGATGTTTAAGCTGCTGGGACTAGGCACTCTCACCTCGCAGTTGGCCTTGTGAGATCCACCACCCTAACCTAACCTCCAAGTGCTACCTGCTGGCCCAGATTTTTTGGAGATTTGAAATATTATTTAAAGCTGATCTTTCAATGGCAGAGAGTGGGAGAGGTTAGGGGGAGATGGGTTGATTAGGATTGGATATGGATTTTTTGAGAGAGAGAGATTATTGCTATAGGGTATGTGTGCTTGACAGAGAGAGAGAAAGACAAAAAGGGAGAGATCATCCTCTGGAGGGGGATGGCCATGCCACAGTCCTTTCTCCTCCATTATTCTTCTGGAATTTGGGGCATGCACGCAACACGCACCAGGCATGAGTTTCAAGCCATTGGGTCCAGGGCTCACACTGCAGTCAGCCATGTGGGAGTCCAGAGACTTAACCATGGTGCCATCTGCTGGTCCCAGGATTGGATATTGATCTTGATGTAACAGTTTAAGATGGAAAGTGAAAGAAAGAAACTATTGATGCTTTCTACTGAAAAACTCATAGATTTTTCTGGAAGTTTCTGAAATTAACTATCAGGTTATTTGTACAGGAGTCCCCTAGAATAGTAAAATTATGTTAATGAAGACAAAGAAATTAATAAAATATTGTTAATGGGGGCCAGTTGGTGGTATGGTGATTTAAGGTGTCCAAGCTATGTATAGGAATAGATGGTTGCCATTCTCAACACAGGCCAAAATACTGTCAAGATCAGAAACACATTTTATTTAGTTTTGCAAAGGCATTATTTTTCCTGTAAAGAGGGTAAGGTGAAGGACAGACCCCCCCTAGCTGATGGGTTAAGGGAACTGGATCCCACATAGCCAGTTATTGTTCAAAACACAGATCCATCGACTCAAAAAACATTCTGGGAGTGGGTCCAAAATGCAGATAGGATGGAAAAATGTAGAGAAGAGATTGCAGTATGACCCTGTTCCATTGGGGGATGCACTTGCTCTTGCGCGCGCTCGCTCTCTCTGGCAAGTACACATGCCCTCTAGCAGTAAAAAACAAACAACAAAAACCACAAAGAAGTAGAAGGTAAGGTGGAGAACCAGAAACTAGTATTTATCGAGTATATATATTGTTTTATTTTATAGTCACATTTAAGCCCATGTCAACCCTGTAATATCAAAGTATTGACTTTACTATAAAATCTAGCAAATTGACATCCAGAAGATTAAATAATCTACCAAAGGCCACATAATAAATAAATTGAAGAGTTGGCTTATGGTCAGAGATGTCCAACTTCAAAATTAGCTCTTTCCTATTCACTATGCTTGTTTAGTTTGTGAAGACAGGAAGTACAATCTTTTCACTAGATAGAAGCTAGTGGATTTATAAGACAATATATTTGTGTGTGTGTGTGTGTCTATATATACATATATATATATATATGCAATATATATATATATATATTTCTGTGAATATAGTCATCGAAGGATGATCTAAAACTTAAGGAGAAATAAAAATATGTAGTTCTTAGTACCTTTATGAATGAGGATCCCTTTGCTAGTCAGAAATAAAGGAATATGTTATGTGCAATGGCACATGCCTTCAGCAAACTTTGTTAAATGAGTCTACAGTTTCCTAGGCATTGTCATCAATCCCAAAATAAAAGTGAGTAGATTATGACTGATGCCCTGGAATGGCTTCAAACTAGTTTGAGAAACACATAAGCAAGTAATTGCCATGCAGCTATATCCACTATAGCGGAAGCATGTGCAAAGTGTGGAAAGGGTGATACCTAGGCTCAATCTTGAAGGGATGTAGGTAGGAGTTTGCCATATGAATAGGATGAGAGTTTGGGAATGAGTAGGGTATTCTAAAAGGAGCATTTACATAAACATATGGAAACCATGGATATTCATGGAATCACAGTATTTGGGTATGACTGAAACTTAGTGTACTCTTCTGATGTATTACTTCAAGAAGTCCTGTTGATTCTATCTTCAAAATATAACATGAATTTGCTCACTCTTCTTCATTGTTGCTGTCCCTCTGTTCCCCATCCTGAACCAAGCTACCTTTATCACCCGCTGTTGACTGCTTACAATAGCATTCCCCATTGATCCATTCTCCATGTTCAAGAAGCGTAACTTCTAAGGCCCAGCCTTGGTGGCACAAACAGTAGAGTGCAGCTGCACGGTGCTGGAGGCCCTGTGGGAGGGCATGCATGTTTATGCTGGGAGGCTTCAGGGCTGAGGAGATGACCAAGGCAGAAAGATGCTGTGAGTGTGTCTCTTTCTCTCTTTCTCTCATTTTATGGAAATAATAAACTTTAAAAAGAAAAGAAAAATGACTTCTAAACTAGATCGGATCATATGAATTGTCTTCCTATATTGCACAAACTTCTACCAAAATCTTACCTTTCTCCAATCTCAGCTTATGCCACTCCTTCAGTATGCTTTTGGCCCCAATGTTTGTTTCTGCTTTCTAACATAACAGGATCTTTCCATCCTCTGCCCCCCAAAAATGCATTTACACCACGATCCTTTATGCAAGATGAAAGTTTCACAGACAAAACTTTTAATGTGTAGGCATTTTTTTCTACTCAGTACTTCATTTTTCAAGAAATGGTGATTGGAATTCACTGAATTTAATCCTAATTGGCAATCTGTAGTTTGAAAAGTAAGTCCAATTGTTCTCCATCTTGATACCTGGTTTGCTTCTGTTATAACGAATGTAAGAGGTAGTAATTATTTTGTTCCTTTGTTTTTCTTGTTTTGGTGTATGTTTTTTCTAAGGTTTGTGAACATGGTTTTTCTCTGTTATTTCTCAGCATCAGCAAAGTGCCTGGAATATCAGATGGGTTTAATGAATAGTTGAAGAATAAATACCAGGATACCTGTTTTGTGATGTAATATCAAATTTGCAGCTTCACTGAATGAGTTTATAAGTTTAAAGCTGTGAGATTATATGGTACTAGTTGAAACGATTAAAATTTCAACCCCACCCACATGGACCAACTCTTGACAAAGTAGCTAACCTGTCAGCTATAACCTGATGGTACTGATTCCAAGTTTACAGGATAGTTGCAGGGATTAATGATGATGAATATAATAGCTACTATTTATGGAATATCTCCCTTGTACCATGCAGTGTTTTACTTAACTTTGTAGGGCTGTTATTAAGATTTAATGAGAGGGGCCAGGAGTTGGCATGGTGGTTAAGGCACTGAACTACCACAGTGCTGACCACGGTTCAAGTCTTGGACTGGGTGGTTTAAAGATCACGCCGAGTGAGTGTGCATGCCCAAAATCCCAAGAGGAGAATGAAGGAGAAGGGATTGTTGCATAGCTATTCCCCTGGGCAGTGATTTCTCACTTTCCCTCGCACAGTCTCTCTTGTCTCTCTCCAGCAAGCACACGCATCCTATGTCTAAACCTAAAAAAAAAAAAAAAAAAAAAAAAGATCTAATGAGATGATTTTAACAGAAAGTGGTTGTT